TTCATAATAACTTGTGCGGTGAATGTAGAAATAGCAAAAGATAACATGGTAGAAGTTACATGCAAATACAATCTTGATACAAATAAGCGCCTTCGAGTGAAATTCATTATGCTAATGATAATCTTCCTAGTCCATACGAGTCAATAATTTTTGAGATCTTTTGTAATATCTGATAGTTGTGGATTTCAGTTAAATGATTTTAACTAACAAATTCTTTGATATTTTGGAATTCGTTTTATTCATAGATAATCACATATTAATATGCACATATGTTACTAGGTTGACCAGTCGTCGATTATATGTTCCACCAAAGTATGTGCAAAATCTAGATTTCCTGTTTATTTTCATATTAAATGTGAAGGATTTTTTGTCAACTCCTAGATTTACCATATGACATATCCAAAAGAATTTGCAGTAAGTGAATTGATTGATTGGTTGTAACAATATTAAAAATAATGGTAAGTGGACTTGTCACTCTCCACTTTATTGCGCACGCTACTTGTTTATATTGCATTTTTTCCACTTCAGCAAAAATGCAAGAAGTCAAGGCTGCTTGATACACCAAAAAGAAGTTTATCTATTTTAACGATCCTCGCATCCTCAAATTCCGCATCCTCAAAGGTAAAAAGGTGTTCGAAAGAAGAAAAAGATGTCTGATTGTGATAACCTTATTTCTTAAGACTTCTTATAAAAAATTATTTAATATTGGTTTTATTGTGAATGGTAGACACATTGAATGTTTAATTCTAACCAACACACATGACGACAGATTAAATAATAAATTTTTATTATTATTTTCTTCTTCAATAAGATCCTCGCGTATTGATTTTGCCTAAATTAATCACGGTCTATAAAATCACTGCAAAAAAAAATCAGTGGTCAGATATATTTTAGGCATCATTATTTATTATGATTCAGTAATAATGAGACCGCAAGAATAAACATAGGAACGTCTAATTTACTTTTAGTCATAATTGTGTAGTTTGTTAATTATATCACAAGCATGAAGTTTATAGCATGTTAGAAGGGGAAGAACAGAACCGAAACAATACTTTAGAATCCTATACTTTCAATTATTATGTATGGAGAACATTGAATATAAGCAGGGCAAATAAAACAACAGGCAAGGGACTAGAGTTGTCTTTCTAATATTTCTAACACTAAACTTTTTGGTCATTGCCTAAACCTGAAATAAAATGTTCACTTTGTTAGATTTTGCTACAGCATGCCCCATATTATTTATTATTCAATTAGTTCAATTCCTACAATCCTTGAATCAGGATCAATGTAAAATGGTTCTTTGCTAACTCTTTACCACGCACAATGCTAATTTTTGCCAAGTACCTCGATGAAATCTTGAAAGAATGGAGAATCTTCGACAGGGTTGCTAATAATAGGTTCACTAGCAACCTGAAGATTTGCATTGGTCAAGACTTGAGAAGTTACAAATTGACCATCATAATTAATGTTTCCCTTACAAGTAACAGCCAGTGTACGATTTGACACAATTTCTCTAACGCCAATATTTTTTATGATAGCGATGGTTTTAGCATCCCAAAGAAAATAACCATTAAAGAATCCAGGATCACCGCCAAGCCATGTTGAACGAATGATGGACAAAAGTTCATACGTAAATTTCCCATAGAAACTTGTGAGCTTTGAGAGTTTGTCAAACAATGCAGTATTGAGCGGAACTTTATTTGTAAAGTCAAGCGGCACTAAAGTGATCTTCAGGTCGGAAGCGAGTAATTCTTGAGCAGCAATGCAGTCAAGAAAAACATTAAATTCAGCATGAGTGTTATTTGGCACGCTAAACACATTTCCAGTAACATATAAAGCGCCACCCATCCAGACAATTTCTTCGATTTTTGTGGTGTAAGTTGGAAAAGCACGTAGAAGCATAGCGATATTGGTGACCGGTCCAGTTGCTACAATTATGGGTTTCTTGCCGGTTTGTTTAATTGTGGAATCAATGAGGTCGGCAAAGTCCTGAGTGATATTAAATCCTTTGACAGCATCATACCATATCCTCCTCGACAGCCTGAGTTTCCGATTGAGACCATGTAACAAATCAGTATTACGTCTTCCAATTTCTGGGACTGACTTTTGGTAAGTGCATCCGGGACTACCAAAAGTATCTGGATTTCTGTCAGATTCGTAGAGAGCATAATCAGCACCAAGTATTACAGGAATGTTCCTTCCGGGGTAAATGTCATCAATGATATCAACAATATTCTGTGCTGAAGCTATCAACAGAAATTATTGTAGTTTATTTGTTTTAGTATGTTACCATTACACCTCACTCATTATACACTTATAGTTACAGTTCTGCATATTTATTAGTAAATACCTGCATGGGACCATCCACCTCCTTGGTAAGTGATGCCTCGTACATCAAGCTCCTTGGATTTGAGTGCATAAAGAATTGCAAAAAAGTCATCGGTGTCACCGTCTGTGTCTATAATTATAGGAATTGAGGGTTTTGACAATTTGAATTGGAATTGGTTACTACCAATTACTAAACTAACGAATATAGTAAGAACAGTAAAAGCAAAGAGTATAATATTGTTTTTCATTATTAATTTTTTTTTTTTAATAATTAAATAATTTTTATAAAAATGTAAAATGTTACATTGCTGATTGATTTAAATAATTTAAATAACAAAATTTGTACAACAGATTTGTTATTCAAAAATTTTAATATTGTGTAGATTTTATCCTTTGTACTATTAACATGATAACTTTATTTACATCAAAATTTTGGGTTGGCCGAAAAGCCGGTTTAAACCTGATTGACTTATACATATGTATTAATATGAATAAATAAAAAACAGGAAAGTTAGAATTTAGCTAGTTCTTTTATTTATATCTTCAAAATCAAATTTTTCAAGACAGTTGAGTTGACTAGCTGCGGGTATGTTAATCGATTATGGTGCAGATCATATAAAGACATTTACCAATATAATGAATATTAATAACAAAAAAAAGGTTGCCATCATTGTACGATTCATATTTTTTGACCTCTAATTGCTCGTTTAACAATTTTCTTAAATCTGATATTTTGTTTTTTATTAAAAATAAAAATGTATTAGTATGATTTAATTTAATTTACAAACATTTACCAAATTCGTGCAACAAATCTCCATAGCATGACCAGGGTGGAGGTCCCTGTTAGAATGATTTTTCCCATGAATATGTTGATCATTTCATTTATTAAGTAACTTTTTAAAAGTACTAGTACTTTCGAATCATAGTAATAGTGTCTCGCATGTAATAGTTTCCCAAATATTTAATATTTTCAGTTATATTATTTGTACATGAAAAACTTCCCAAGAATTTTTTATTCTCTTCCCAAAATTTCGACAATTACTACAAAAAAATTTCACATTGCTGAAAAAAAATTCTTTCCAATGGACAGATCAACAAGTACTCGATTTTACAATGCCACACCATTACAAACTTCCGAAGCCCAAAGTAATGATAATAATAACAATATAAATAGTGGTAATAATGACAATAGTCAGTTACATAACACACCCCAACAAGATCAGCTAATCACATTAAAAACTCACGAGGATGAGGATGATCCATGCTTTGATTGTATGAATCCATGTTCAACGCATCCTTCATATCCTTCATATCTTAGAATTAATTATGAATTGCCTCTGGAAGGCACGGTAAAGCCTCACTCCAAACATGTTTTAATTTCAACAGGTAAAACAGATTGGATGGCTAGAATAGAAGATGATTCCACAAGTTTAGCAGGTCAATTACATAAAATTATTAAATCCGGTGATAGTAAGAATAAAAAAGAAAAAAAAGCAAAGAAAAAGGAAGATAAAAGAAAAAATTTTGATTCAGATAATAATGAAACACAACAAATTTTTAATGCTGATAATAATGTTGAAAAATCACCTCGTATGCTTATTACAAATAGTAGCCGAGAAAATACTGATAAAGATTCAAAAGGAAATGATGTTCTATTATTTCCTGATAATATTTTAATTCGTAATGTAGACCCAATGAATGCACTGGAATTTTCTAAAAGGTTTTTGTTACCATCATTATCATCGAATCAAGATCAAAATACCTCTTCAATCACTTTTCAAGTAGATCCAAACCCATACAAAGCTGTAATAGTAATATGTTCACATAGACGTCGTGATAAAAGGTGTGGCGTAGTTGCTCCAATATTAAAAGATGAATTTGATAAAATATTAAAAGATAAAAAGTTGGATGTAGAAAACAAGAAAACCGAAGGCGTGGCTGTGTTTTTAAGTAGTCATATAGGAGGTAATAGGACAATTCTGACTTATTTTTATTCATTATTTATATAGTATTTTCCCATTAAAACTTTTTTTAAAACATTTTTTAGGACACAAATTTGCTGGCAATGTTATAGTTTTTCGAGATGGTCAAGGTATATGGTACGGACGTGTGATTCCATGCCATGCCAAAAGTATTATAGAATATACTGTTATTGAAGGAAAAGTGATAAAAGATTTGTACCGTGGATCAATAAATGGAAGTTTTGCGCCAGGAAAAGGTGGAAGATTGGATTGGTAATATAGTATCTATTATAATAATGATAATTATAGTACTAGTAGCAGTTATTTATATAAATAATAGACATGTATTAAATAATTTTGTACACATTTTGCTAATTTGGTGGACATTATTGTGTTTTTATTCCTTTTTCCTTTGACATAGAATCTACTTTACAAAATAATTATTGTACTATCTATCATTTTTATTTTGAATTTTGTATATACATGCTTAATATGTTCCCCATAATAATCTTTTAACATGATCTTTCTTTTTAGCTGCAGTAGAAATTATACCGAGTAATTTTAATTCTTTAAAGGCTTTAATGAATCTTAATCTAATATAAAAAAAAAAATAACAATAATTTTCAATTAGTTCAACCATATATTCAATAATCAAACAAACAAACAAACAATTTATTTATTTGTTACTTTATTTCATCATCATCAATGCTTTCATTCCCTTTCTTTATTAAAGATCCAAAAGATTCTAACCAATCATGGATATTAATTGAAATTCCACACTGTAAATATAATTTGTATAGTATACAAATGTCATTTTGTGTAGTTAAAATTTGTTCTCTTGGATCTAATTTAACTTTATCATCAACAACATCACAAGCATTATTGTTATTGTTGGCCACGAAGCTGTTATTATTGTGGATAGCATTAGAAGAATCAACAGGACAACAATTACAATCAAGGTAACATGTAGGTAATCCAAGTGCCGCAGTAATTATTTGACGTGGTGTTTGATTAAATGCCTTTTATATATTTATAAATAATTAAATAACATGTATATGGAATTTAATTGAAATATTAAATAATCAACATAAATATATCGTAACCTACAGATTTTAGAATACCATCACCTTTATGATAATAAATTTCGTGAAGTGGATTGATTGTATAATGTTGAAGATTTTCTCTACAAATAATAATTTTATATTAATAATATAAAATGGTAATTGATGAATGAATGAAGATAATTACTCGAAAAATCTTTCTAAAAAATTAGTCATATCGTTAATAAGATCTGTGCGTTGAGTAATTGGATTATATTTAGAGTTTGATATTTCTTTTCTGATTGGTCTTGTTCTTCTCTTTTCGATACTCTTTAATTTTTGGGAATAGTTTTTCAATTTTTTAATTTCATTTGGCATTAAATTTTTTTGTGTAAGGTTAGTGATTAATGATGTAAGGAATGATTCAATTGATGCTGGTCCCAGTTTTCTTTTAAAAAAAACGCAACAAACAGTTATATTAATTATAGCAGTGACAGTTCAAATAATTATAGAATAGCAATGATAATATTAATAAAACCATACTTCATTTTATTCAACAATAAATTAGTATATTCATTTTTACCCAATCCAGGTTTCTCCAATGATATCATGTACAATTCAGTTTTTGATTTTTCTACATATATATCATCATCACCATCACCATCACCATCACCATCACCACCATCACCATCATCATCATCATTGGAAGCAATTTGTTGTTTTAATAGACAGAGAAACTCAAATGCTAACGAAAATTTCTGATGATAAAGTTTCATATCTTCTAATAATTTTAACGTAACGGTTTTCAAACAATTATCATTATTCATTATATCGTTTACATCTTGTATTTGATCAACTTTTGTTTCAATATAACTATTAGTAAATAAATAAAATTATTAGTGCGAAAATAATAATAGCTATTATTTATATTTAATGAAACTCACTTTTGAAATGATGGAAGCATCCTTATCATATTGAAATGATTGTTGGTTAACAAATCGAGTCGTGAAGAAATTTCATTTTGATCAAAGACAGTTGATAGAATATTTAAAGGATTTGTATAATAATAACACATTAATGTATACTATATATTGTCAATTATCAATTATAATAATAATGTTAAAAACTTATAATTCTTGAATGGTTTTACCAATGCTATAAACAGATTTTAATGTACCTTATAACTTGTAATAAATGACGAAATTGAATATCTTATTTCATAATTGGTTTTATATAAAGTTTGAAAAGTTTTATCACATAACTTGACACCTTCATGATTATGTATAAAGCACTATAAATAAATATAATTCCAAAATTAATATGTATAAATAAATAAGCAATAATAAAAATAAAAATAAAAAATTTTACATCAGAGATAAATTCATCGAAAATTGTTAATTGATCAGGCATCTCGAAATGTTCTAACTTTAATAATCTTTTGACGGAATAAGGAAGCTTGCGAAAATTTTCAGCACCTTGATTGACTATTGAAAGCGATATTAAAAAAACTATAGGTATTTGATCCTGATATTCACTATTAATTTATTATAAAAGACCGCAACAATATTATTTAATTATTGTCAAATCAAAATCAATAATTATAATAATAATAGTAATACCTGCAAGTATGTATAAATGATCCTAATATTTCTGATGGGATTCCTTCTAAATGTTGAATTATAATAATTAATTTGGGACAATCTTTGAAATCTAAAAAAAATTTTTAATTAATTATAAAATTATATATGTAATAATTCATCCACCAAAAAAAAATATTAATACTTACCAAAATTTTCTGGTTGATATATAGATTTATACCATAGCATCATGGTATTGAAATCATTCTTTATATATTAATAAGATTTTTTAGTTTTAATAATTATATCGATAGGAAAATCATAAAAACCAATTATTAAATCACTCACCACATTCTTAACAGAGAAAACCATTTCCTGTTAAGAAAGAAAATATTAATAATATTATTACCAATAAACAATTTAAAAATAGAAAAATAAAGGTGCGATATCAAACTTCATCTTTGCTCGGATTAGTCTCATCTGTATCTATATCCATATATGTTACATGATTAGTTTTTTCATGTTCCTCCTCTTCTTCGATAGTATGATCACTTTCATTATCATTACTATCATCATCATCATCATCATCATCATCAACATCATCCTCATCTTTATCATCTTCATCATCGTCATCATCGTTATCATACTCGTCTCCATCTAGAGTCTGACCTTTCAATTGTCTTTCACTTGCGTTGTCCAAAAAAGTATCAGAAACAAATCTCATCAATGTTTTTAGATTATTGCAACACTCAGGTTGAAGTAAAATAACATTGTTTAGCTTCTTTTTTTCTAACTTTCGAGTCAAATTCTTGAAGAATTTTTCATTTTGTTTGAAATCAATTCCTAAAAAATTTTTGTAAAATTTTAAAATTCAAGTAAATGCTAAATTACAGCAAAAATATTAATTAAATCTACCTGAGTAAATTAATCCAGTTGGAATACCCGAATATAACAATCTTTTATTACTATAAATTAATATTAAAGTCAATAATTTGATTTGTGCATAAAAATTGATAATTTTTTAATTTATTTGAAGAAAAATTTACATGCACAAATTGTTCACAAATTCAAATATATCATCTATGATGGGTTTAGTTAATTTAGTCAGAAGATTCTATTAAATATGTATTATCAAAAATGTCATTTTAAGATAAACTAACAAGATTCACTAGATTACACACAATGTGATGCAATAAAATAAGAATGTAATGCAATAAAAAACGCGTGCCTCTTCTATACTTTCTAGGTCTGATTTAACTCCAATAAAATCTTTATATCTTGTGTCTAAAAGCTTTTGTGATTCACCTTCTAATAATTTGTAAAATGGATTATGATTTTGAATAGACATGTTTGAAAATTAAAATGTTAAAATTCTTCGTGTCACGAATTTTTACGTGTATTTTGATCGTCAGGTCATGTGCGAGAGCTAGTACGCATTCATTATTGATGACGCAATTTACATAAAAATGGACTATTTCGTGGCCAAATGTTGCATTGGTCAAGTAGTCTAATAAATTACTTCGATAACGTATAATAGACCGCCTCCACTTTGCCTTTTTACGTTGCATTCGAATCTGTCAGGTCTGTTAGCTTGACTTTAGGTGGATACTTGTCTACTTATTATCAAAAATCCGGGTAGTCTTCTTCCATTTTTATTATTATTATAGGATTCATCACGTTATATATTTACGCGCCTGCCCCCACCAGGTGTTACATACCATCAAACGTCTTAGAAAAATTGATGGCGTAATATGCGATTTTTCTTATTATTATATACACACACACACACACACACCCCAGTTTGCTCCATCCGGTTTGATACCTTATGAGGTGAGACTTAGACTCGAGGCTCTGCCCCCTCATTCCAATCAGGAGTGTGAGGAAATGACCCACGTATGTATTTCCGAAGTTTACACACCCATCTTGACTATATGCTTAAAGTGGTGTAATCTTCCATTTTTCTTATATATTACGAAAGTTAGCCATCCCGACCACCTATCATCGAAATGGGTATTATTTTGCCTTTTTTCTTATATATATAAACTGCGCTTAAATACTTCAAGTACTTACTCAACGCATACCCACCGGGGTCGTATTTTTTCATGATTATTTTCTCAAGAAAAAATAATTTAAGGGTAGTGTTTGGTCACGTTATCTCCATCTTTATATTTATTATTTTGCATATATATAATCGAAATTTTTTGATGAAATATTTACAATTTAATGTTTTGTCTGTTTTGTCACTAAAATGTACATGTAATACTGTCTTCTTCACTACTTCCAAAAGACAATTATCAACGAAAATTTCCCTTATTCTCAATACTCCTATAAATTTTTTCAGAAAATGTATACATTTTCCGTACATTCCATATTAATATGGAATATTAATATCTACGGAATTATATATACTAATACATGAAAAGAGCGCTTTTCCATGCATAGTTGCCCTGAAAATGGCCTGAAAATACCAGTCACAGGACATTTCCCGCCGATCTATAGGAGGTTATATTCATATGCGTAAAATTTTGTTTGACGCGTCCAATTGCAAGTATAAACAGAAATAAATGTGCAAATATTACATTACATATTAATATGTAAACTCGATAAGTCGGCCAAAACTTTCGCCCCATTTTCTTAATATTTAAGTAATTTAATTCGATAAGTCGGTTTACTCAATAAGTCGGTCATATGAGCTCACCCCCACATGATCTATTTATCGAGTTTACATATGTATTACGAATATTTACAGATTTTTGATCATTTAGTATGTCTTTTATAGTAAAATCATTTATTTTAAAAGTAAATATAATAAATAAATAGATATTGAAATTTTTCTTTACCTATATACATAATAATGATTAGAATAATAAACAAGCAACATTGATTAAATTAAAAGGTGTTTTATCACTAACTTTATTCATTTAATTATTTATCATAGTGATGTCATTAAATATAAGTTAAAATAAAAGAGAAATTATATACATAAATAAATAATAAACATAACTATTGAATAATTGATAAAACGTTTATTAGTATATTTTGTTCATAGATCTTGTCCTTGATGCTTACTTCGATCAATCTTATACAAACTATTGAATAATTGATAAAACGTTTATTAGTATATTTTGTTCATATATCTTGTCCTTGATGCTTACTTCGATCAATCTTATACAAACTATTGAATAATTGATAAAACGTTTGTTAGTATATTTTGTTCGTAAGTCTCGTCCTTAATGTTTACTTAGATTACTCCTATACAAACCATTGAATAATTGATAAACATTCATTAGTATGTTTTGTTCATAAATCTTGTCCTTAACGTTTACTTCGATCATTCCTATACAAATTGAATCTTAATCTTTATTATCATCCTCAAAAAAGATGATTCGTTGTCGTCGTTTGCTATTTGTTGCTACTAATATTATTGTTTAATGTTGCTATAACAACTATTGATTGATGGATATTCATAATAATCATTAATGAAACTATAATCAGAAATAAAACAATCACTAATAAAATACCCTTTAGTTTTTGCTGAATCCCATCTACAAAAATTCTTCAAGACTATTAAATTTTTATAAAATAGTTGTTTTTCGTGAAACTCTCTAAAACTTATTAACCAATACCCCCATAAAGTAATGGCCATATGAAAGCTTACTATCAAGTCTTTTAAAGCGATATTGAGAAATAATCTGAGCTATGAAATGAAAAAGTAATACCGTTTTTGAATTCATGTAGAGAGGACCTTTTGATAGATATGAAAGAGTATTCATTAGAAAGCTTTAATGGAGTATTTTCATTTTACTCCAACAACAAAGTTCGAGTTTATTATAAAAGTAACAAAAATATCACATATCACACAACATAGTTGAATTCATTTGGAAGCTTTATCATTTACTTTATTAAATAATAAAAAATTTCAATAAATCATTTTGTAAATAGGATTTAAAAATAAAACTTTGTTCAATATAAATCATTTAGAAAAATTTTTTTATTCCACTAGAAATCCTCAAGGTATCAATTCAATATGCTTCCCTATAATTTTATCATGAAAATTAGTTGAATGAATCATATCAATGGAATACCAAGTACCTGGTTCTCATTATGCACCATCACTCTATCTTCCGAAGGAAAGCATGGGAAGGGCATAAGTCATGGCCAAATTCATCAATCTTAAATTGTAAACGAGTTCATTATATGAAGGTTTCCCAACTTTCAATAATTTGAAGAATAATCAATGAACTTTATGAATTTTTTGAATGTTTCATATTTAAATATTTATTAAGGAAAATTCTTTTATTTGCCTTACAACAACAATATTTATAATCAATCATTAATCATGCTTTTTTTATTTCCTGTTAACCCTACTCATAATTCTTATTAGTGAACTATCGTTCATGCCATATAATGAAAAACATGGAATTTGCAAATTTTAAAAATGCGAGGAAAATTTTAGGTTCTTACAAAGGTTAAGAGATATCTCCAAGCAGCTTAAAATTGCACAAACGCGGTCTAAACACCATTTCACATTGATACATTTTTAACGTCGCCTGAATTCTTGTCGATAAATATAATTCAAAAAAAAATATGCTGGGGAGTTGAGGTTTCATCTGATACACTTACAGAAATTGTAAAAATAGTAATTAGAAATTAATAAATCGGAAAAACATCCACCAATAAAATGAAACAACGAAGTAAATATTCTAACATTCTAAAATGCAACAGACATTTAATTCTCGGATTAAATTTAAACGAAGGAATTTAAATTACTTTTTCATAACTTGAAGATAATTCTACGTGGAAGGTCCAAACAATAGAACAAATTAGGACTTCAAAGAAATCGGAGAATTAGATGATAGATGTATAAATAACGTTGTAATTTTCTTAACTTCATGCACCATCCTAATCAATTATCATAATAATCATTTAATAAATCCTTATCCTCGTATTTGTACTTGTACTTGTACTTGTTTTTGTCTTTGAATATTATATTTTCGTAATGATAATAAATCTAACAATGAACTCGTGCATAATTATTTTTTCTTACTTTGTACTTGGCTCTATTTTTTTTATTTTTTATTTTTTTTTTTATTTCTTTTCTTTTCTTTTAATGAGGTAATATTTAATAAATTTGATTTAGTAGGTTTGAGAAACGTACCTGACTTGAGTAGAGAGTAACAGCTAAAAAGGGCACTCACCAAGGAACGTGATCAGGATATAGTGTGAAATCTAAAGAAGATATTGTTTAGTTATTGAATTGTTTGACGATAGTGAAAGATAGTAAAGCATAAATATACATTCGCGAAAATTGTTGTTACGATTTAGTATAATAAATCGGAAGAAATTGTATTAAGACTCTATGGGTATTGAAGTTATCTAGATGATCAAAGTAGTGACTATGATTTTTTTTTTCTTACGTATTATACTGTACATACAATTATGAAGTTTATTTGGATAAATAAATTTCTTTAGTGGAGTGAAGTTACTATTTGATTTCCTCGCTTCTAGTAAAAGTAAATGGGTATGGAAGTTATCTAAATGGCCAATGTTATCTTTTTTGTCGATTGAAAACGTGATTTTAGATATGCACTTGCTTTGATATTTTGTTATTTGTTTGGGTGTTTAATGTCATTGCATCAATACCTGGTCTTGGCCAACAACAAACTGGATCTGGAATTCATTTGGCTTAATTTTTTTAACAACAGCTACAATATTAATGATAATTGGTATATGCGATAAAATGTGTTGTCGTGGTATTATTAAAAAACTTGAAGAAGAAAATGAAAAAGATCTATAATGTAAATTAAAAAAATTATTATATTATTTATATTATTTATTAAAAATAAATAAATTTGTTTTTATAACGACTTGAATTTTTAATCAAAATTTTTATTATAAAAATTAAACTCTAATATATATATATATATATATTTATTTAACATGCTGTAGATAAGAAGATTAAACATTTGAAGAAAATAAATAAACATAATGATAAATAGATTATATAAAGTCCGTCATTATCATGTTTTTTTTTTCTTTTTATGAATTTTAAATCATGATGACTTTTTATAATTTAATCTACTTCTTCCATAGAAGTTTCAACCGAAGCTTCATCAATAGGATTAATTGTTTCTTCAACCTCCATAGCCTCTGTATCATCACCAAGATCAAGACCAAGTTTAATCATTTTGAATATTCTACCAGCAAATGATGATGGTTCATCCAAACTAAACCCTGATTGTAAAAGTGAAGTTTCAAACAACAGCCATGTAAGATCTTTAACTGTCTTGTCATTCTTGTCAGTTTCTACTTTTGCCTTGAGTGATTTAACAATTGGATGGTTTGGATTGATTTCCATAATTTTCTTTGATGCCATGTAAGATGACATGCTTGAATCACGAAGAGCTTGTGCTTTCATAATACGCTCAAAGTTAGCAGACCAACCATACTGTCCAGTCACAAGCACACAAGGTGATTCTGAAATACGATTTGACACAAGCACCTATTATTTTGTATAAAATAGTTTTTATTAATATTAAAAAAAATTTCCATGTTTATTAGTAAACAAATAATAAATAAATTATTATTACCTTTTCAACTTTGTCACCAAGTATATCTTTAATTAATTTACATAACTCCTCATATTGTTTAACTACTTCTTCATGTTTTTTCTTTTCATCTTCATCTTCATCAAGCTCTAATCCTTCTTTTGTGATGCAAATAAGTTTTTTATCATTATACTCTTTAAGTTGTGAGACAGTATATTCATCAATTGGGTCAGTCATAAGCAACACTTCATATCCCCTCTTCTTGAGAACTTCAACAAATGGTGAATTTTCTACAGCTTGGCGATTTTCACCAGTAATATAATATATTGATTTTTGTTTTTCAGGCATTCTTGTAACATAATCCTTTAATGATGTCATTTCTTCACTAGATTTTGTAGAGTAGTAACGAAGAAATTCTGCTAATTTAGCACGGTTTTGTGCATCCTCATGAACACCAAGTTTAAGGTTTTTAGCAAATGCTTCATAAAATTTGGCAAAGTTTTCCTTATCTTCAGCAATTTCACCAAACAATTCAATACACTTTTTAACAATATTTTTTTTAATGACCTTTAGAATTTTATTCTGTTGAAGTGTTTCACGAGAAATGTTAAGAGGCAAATCTTCAGAATCCACAATACCCTTTATAAAACTAAGATATTCTGGTATTAAGTCTTCACAGTCATCCATAATGAATACACGTCTAACATAAAGTTTAATATTGTTACGTTTCTTTTTGGTTTCAAACAAATCGAAAGGTGCACGTCTTGGTGCAAAAAGAATTGCACGGAATTCAAGCTGTCCTTCAACTGAGAAATGTTTAACAGCCAGATGGTCCTCCCAGTCATTGCTGAGTGATTTGTAGAAAGCAGCATATTCTTCATTGGTAATGTCTTCAGGATTGCGAGTCCAAATTGGTTTGGTTTTGTTAAGCTCTTCAGTTTCTTTAGTCACCTCTTTAATTTTCTTTTTCTTCTTTTCTTTTTCTTTTTCTTTATCTTCATCCTCTACTTCTTCAATCTTAGTCTCCTTCTTTTCTTCATCTTCTACCACTTCCATTTCCCCTTTATCTGTTGCATCTTCATCATCAACTTCTTTCTCAACTTCTTTTTCAACAATGAGTTGAATTGGATAACCAATAAATTCAGAATGCTTCTTTACAATTTCTTTTATTTTTTTTTCCTCAAGATATTCAAGTTGATCTTCTTTAAGGAAGAGTCTGATTTCAGAACCACGTTCAAGAGGTGGATTGACTGTATCAAGTGCAATGGTGAAGGAACCACCAGCAGCAGATTCCCAAATGTATTGTTCATCATCATTGTGCTTTGTGATTACTTGAACTCGGTCAGCAACCAAGTAAGCAGAGTAGAAACCCACACCAAATTGACCAATCATAGATATGTCAGCTCCAGATTGAAGAGCCTCCATAAATGTTTTGGTGCCAGATCTAGCGATTGTACCAAGATTATTTACAAGGTCAGCCTAAAATAATGACAATGGGGGTATTTGAAATTAATGAGAAAAAAATAAATAAATCATATTCATAAAACAACACACAATATAATTTGATTAATGTAGGATCAAAAAAATAAAAAAATATGTACCTTTGTCATACCAATACCAGTATCTCTAATAGTGAGCACTTTGTTTTCTTTATCAGGAATTATCCTTATATAAAGTTCGCTTCCACTTTCAAGTTTTGAAGGATCAGTGAGGGCTTCATATCGAATTTTATCCAAAGCATCAGATGAATTGGAAATCAATTCACGAAGGAAAATCCTATTTATTAGTTGGTAAAAATATAAATATCAAATAAATTAAAGTTTCTCCAACATATATATGTGCATGTATACATAACGTGTATATATATTTACTCACTCTTTATTTGAATAAAAGGTATTGATAATAATAGACATAAGCTGAGAAATTTCAGCTTGAAATGCAAATTGTTCAACTTCACCCATTTTTATTTTTATTTTTTTAAAAATTTATTAATGTGTTATTTATTTACAAAGTTGTAGAGAAAAAAATTTTTTTTTTTGAGATTTTTTCTTGTTGGACCATCATTTATATATTTTAGATTTTGATATGTAGGGTTTTGTGTTCTTTATGAAACAATCCCAAATTAAGTAAATCATCAACAATAAACGCAATACCTTTGGAAGATTCTAGCAAATTGTAGAGGAAATGATGTGACACGGTCAAACTATGATTATAATCCGACACCCAATGAAAAGTGACCGTAAATGCAATAATTTGAATAAAGCGAAATTTGTATTACGAATAGAAACCATACATTAATATTAATATTGAAAAAACTAATAAAACAAACAAATAGCTTTTATTGCAAAATAATTAATTTTGTTCTTTTGGTGTTAATGATTGAATCGATCACACAAGTAGTAGTCAATTTAAACAGCGTTGTTTTTAGAGAATTTATTCAAAATAATATTATTAAATGTATAAAATTTTAATGTTTTTTAATGTTGCAAATTTTTTTTTGATACATCAATCTCAATCCAAAATCAATCATTTATATTTCTTTATTTTCTTTTTTTGAAAATAATAAATTTATCCTTTGTTTATTTGTTTTAGCAGATTCAAATAGATCAAATGATGAATACACTACTACTACAGCAAAAACTTTGGGCGATGGCTCTTCATTGTTTGCTAAGATCTTCCCATTAATTGATCGAAGAAGTAATAGTTCTTAAAGTATAACGATTTTATCAAAAAAATAGTGATATATAATTACATGAACTTGTATTTTATTTTATTTTTTTTATTACAAACAAGAAAAGAACAAGTTGTAAATTAACAACACGATTACCGAGGAAAATAATAACATCAATCTAATATTATTAAAAAATATCGAAATTTTGCCTTCTTTGACTTCTTTTTCCTCACCAACATCATCTTTATGCACTATTATTAATAATAATAATAACCTTAACACCCGCACTAATACCACTGCAACTGATAATAATGATAGTGGAAATAGTAATATTGATTCAAATGGCAATGGTTTCAGTAACTTAACAATTATTGCACCAATATTATTTGAAGAAATAACAAGAACTATTTATTATTGCTTTCTCATCATTTATATTTATGTGCACGTAGTGATGTGCCATTCATAGTAAACTTGGTTTTTTCGCGCACAGTGCACACAGTGTGTGTAGGACTCACGCGTAGTGAGTGTAAGCATTATGGGGCAATGGAAAAAAATCTCGCTTATTATTATTGTGCCACAAACTATTCGCGAACCATTCGCAGCACATCACTATATGCACGTTTGCAATTCAATGGTCGGATCCAAGATGGAAAATTTTGAACCTTTAGTTGGTTTAAAATCGCCCAAGAGGTCACTAGCTGGATCCGTAGTAATTAATATAATATTCGCCAAATCTAATATGGCAAGATTAATCGTAATTAGAAGAATTATTTGGTTATTAATATTAACTTGTTTAGTCACGACGTTGCCTAATACAAAAAAAGGTTGTAGTCTGATTTCCTCCGAAAAGTTCTCTGAAAGTTATCATAACTGGGAAGGTTAAATCTTGTACTGATAATATATTTTCAGGCACATTGCAAATATAAATCTATTCTTTATTACTCGTATTTGCATGGATTAGTCGTCTTAACACCATTAATTGCAAGAAGGAATACACTACACAGTTGATATTAGCAGTATTTACTACACACGATTTATTTCGTCCTCGTAGATCTGGCTATCGAGAAACATTTATTGTAAAGTATATAATAAAATTCTATATCAAAATTGATATAGACCAAATAACGATTTTAATCTTAAACTAATTTGAAATCGTCAAATAGATAGACGGATTAGACATAAGATTTAGATATGAAGGTTTAGGTGAAGCAATAGATGACAGATGAAGGATGTCACGTGATGATGATGAAGGTGAGCCAAGCAATAATAATAATAAAATAAAGATATTTTAGACCATTTTTAGATTTTATCATCTTTAGTTTTTTTTTGTATAGATTGCAAAATTAATAATAAATTGGGGGTTTTTTCTGACAAACTTCTAATTAATTAGCATTAATACTATGTTTTATTATTATTAAGATTATAAAACTTTTAGGGTCGAAGGTCTTTTTTTTACATTTCATAAAATAAATTCATTCCTTGTAACTTTTATCAACAACAACGACCACGACAATACTTTGAAAGCATCAAAATCGACAAGAAAAAGGCTTTTTCACAGTTACTGATCAATAATTATTTTGTTGGCGCTATATATTACTATACATTTATTTCGCCAATCAATACTAACTATAAATTGATAGAATTTGTAAATGTGTATATATATATATATATATATATATATATATATATATATATATATATATTATATCTAAATCATAATCTGTGAAATTTATATAAAAAAAAAATTTAATAATTTTTTTATTCCCAAAGAAAAATCTCTATATATAACAATTAATAATTAAAAAATATTAAATAAATAAATTTTTTTTTGAAGTTATTAATAAACGTAACCATTATCTGACTCGATCAACAATCACAGCCGTAGGAATTTGGGTAAGGCTCGTACTGCGTGACAATTGGTATTTCCTAGTATCAGTTTCTTCACGCCATTTTTCTGGATTGGGTATATCAGCAGTAACCCATGGATGTTTCTTATTAAATAAATCCAATTCGTTAATTAGTAAATAATATATATTATATTAATATTTTTTTCTTTGACTAAAATATTTAACTACAAACCTTGACTTCATCTAGTGTAATTCTTTTCAAAGGATCTTTTTCCAACAAACTCTTTAGCAAATCTTTAAGATCGGCGGTGATCGAAATATTTTCAGGAAATTGCAATGGTTGATGTGGTATGACACGAAAAAACAATTCAAATTCTGTGTCAGCTATAAAAGGGCATTTTCCAAAAATAAAACAATATAGTGTCACGCCAAGTGCCCAGACATCGATGGCTTTGGTTATCGGAGGACGGCTTTTATCTAACAAATATTGGTGACAATGATGATGATAATGATGATCTTCATAATTTCATAATTTCAAATAGAAGTATATACGTATGTAAAGAAATTTACCAGTACAGCATAACTCTGGAGCAAAAAAAGCAGGACTTCCAGCAGTTTTTGCTAAATCTGTATCATCTTGTGTTGGTGAAGAATTATTATTATTATTATTGTTGTTGTTATTATTATTATTATTATTATCATTATTATTATGGTCTGGTATCATAGTTGCTAATCGTTGACTGAAGTGAGATACACCAAAATCAGAAATCTTCACTACATGATCAGCTGTAAGTAACAAATTTGCTGGTTTAATATCACGGTGTATTATGCCTTGAAGATGAACTTATGATTTCATAATAATAATTATGATAATATATATATATATATAATAGAGATAAAAGTGTAGAATATAATAATAGAAAAGATATTCAAAGAAGGGAGGAAATTAATTGAAAATGGAATGTTAAAAGATAATAATAGTATATATATCACACCTAGACAAGATCAGCTAGGGGTCACTCACGATATTCCAAACCCAACACTACATCTCTAAAAGTTTGTCTTGCCTCATTTATAGTCATAAGAGGGTTATCATTTTCATCTTTCCATTTTATTTCTCCGCCTTCCATATACTCAATTACTATCATCAATTGTATGATAAATAAACAATTAATTAATAGATTGTTCAATGAGATTAATTGATAGTGATTATTATAATTATTATAATTCATTTAAAACTAGCATACCCATATAAATCTTTTTACTCGTTGGGTCATCTATAACTTCTTTCAATCTAACGACATGAGGATGAATGCACTTTTTTAATATGGAAATTTCTCTTCTGATTTTTTGTTCATTGGTTAAATCGTTATTATGTTGACCTAAACGTCTTCGTGTAATTCTTTCAACAATTTTAATAGCCTTATAAAATATCATCAATTAATAAGAAGAGTCGTTTGTCATAAAAAGTAATTGATTTTATTAGCATAAAGAAAAAGAAAAAACTTACAACCAATTCTCCAGTTTCCAAGTCTTTTCCCAACTTTACCTTCCCATGCACACCTCTACCCAATTCTTTTATCAACATGTATTGATTTATCAATTTATTATCTGTCGTTTGCGTTTGCTCATATTTTATAGATATTGTATGTGTTTCTTTAACTTCAGTTATAGGTACTGAATTACAGATACTGCTACTATTATTACCATTACCATTACTACCATTATTATTACTATTATTATTACTACGTTGTTGAACTAGTTCAGTTGAATTATTATTGGTCGAGGAGGAATCAACATTTTCTTTATCCGAAAAAACACGAAAAAAACGTGAAGTAAAACGTAAACAGCGCATTTCCAATTTGAATAAAAATTCATATATATATATATTTTTTTTTTAGAAAATTTTTTTTTAAACTAACATTTATATAAAAATTTTTTGTAATTAATTAATTTTAATTAATATCAAATTTAAAGATGTTGAATTTGGTGGTCATACAAAGTATATTTGCTATTATAAAAAAGGAAAATATTTGTGTAATTTATCTAACCTATTTTTTATGTTACAGCACCACAAAATTTTTTTTCTGAAATGGGATAAAAAAATCAGAAAATTGCTGCAGTGGTTGCTAATTCTAGATCAGAAAAAAAACAACCCAAGAATTATAAAAATTTTCTCACGCCAGTTAATTAAAGCCAGATAGTTTAGTATGGTTTAGTATGGTTTGTAATGAACCAATCACAATGTGAATGACAGCAATGTTTGGATTTCTAGCCAACTCACCTTTTAAATTGGGCATTACTATACGAATATGTGCCGGACCGTCTTTTTTCCTAATATCAAATATGCCATGAATTGGTAATTGTATTTTGCCAGTCATTTTCGTAAGAAATCATGTGCATTTACGGTTAAGTCGAATATTACCAATTTAATACAGCAATAATATTTCAAAATTGCAAAAATAGGTTGCTTTACAATGTAAAGTCTCGTTGGTGTAGTTGGTTATCACGCCTGTCTAACACACAGGCGGTCGTCAGTTCGATTCTGACACGAGACAAAAAGGAGGACAAGGTGTTTTTACTTCCACATTCAAAATCCACAAAATTGAAATTATAGGAATTCATATTAATATATACATAAATACAAAACTAATAGATCAACAATATTCTATAACAAAAAACAATTTATTATATTAAATATTAGCTTTACATAAACAAAAATATTTTATCTATCTATAATTTACACAATGTATATATATATGATAATAAGATATCTCTATATACCGTATATATATATATATATATATATAAATAAATAAAATACTAATTTACAAGTGTTAAGCCGTCACAGGTTTCATTCTTAATGCCAATTGTTTGTTGTATAATGTCCTGAATTGTTCTAGAACCATAAATGTTACAACAGTATGAGGTCCTAGACGTACAAATGACGGTACCCAGCCTTTAAATAACGCAAAAGGTCCTTCTTCACGAATGATTACTCCTAAGATGCTAACAAGATTCTAAAAATATAGATATAGATGTTGTTTACTTGGTTTATCGATTAAAAATAAAGTTCATTAAAATATAAAAAAGTGATTAACCTTAGATTTTGATGCTGAATTCATCACACGCGTTTTAATAACATCTACTGGTGAACAAATAGTTGTAGCAACCAACCCCTAAATTAAAAATATGCAAGTGATTAATAATCTTACTATAATCGGTAATCACTCAATTAATCAATGGTTAATTTAATTGATAAACTTACGGCAAACAGACTACAACAGAAATGAGTGATGATGTTATCTTTAAAAATACGAGTTTTCAATAACATCTGTTTAAATTGATCGTAAGAAACCAATTGAGATGAATTCATCAATATGGCACGATTCGTATTTGGTCCAATACCTCTGGTAAGACCTGAAAATCCCTCCTCTTTTATAATACGTATCAAACCATCTAACGCATGTTTGTAATGACGCATTTCACTTGGTGGTAATTTAGCATCATTCTGCATACGAACCATCACAATATCTGCAGGATTACCAAAAGCTCCACCTATACATCCTGATATAGATGCACAAGTTATTTTCTTTATAAGGGAAAGAGGTTCTTTTTTTATTTTTTAAAAAAAAAAACTTGAATAAAATTATTATAGTAATTTTCAAATAGATCATTGATAATAGAAGACACTTACCACCTTCCTTTGATAAAAATAATTTCAATTTATCATAAGTACCAAATCTCATTGTAGAGTATGTTCCTTGTCTCAACAAACTTGCAGAGAGTCCACTATACAATCCCCTCCAACCTTCCGTTTTTACAATATGAACCATTGTTTTAAGTGATGATGCTTTGTTAGCACCTATGGTTGTTTGAAGACGTACTTTGGTAAGATCTAATGGATGGCTGACAGTACATGCTACACATGAAGCTGCACCTCCCAACCAAAATGGATAGATTATTTGTTTTGTTTTATTATCGTTTGGACTTGAAATTCTTGGTTTGGATGGTGCTGAACTAACCATTCTACATAATATTAAATTTATATAAAAAACTTTACATTTTATATAAAGTATTTTAAGGAAAACATATAATTACTTTATAGATGTATGGATCTCAAATGCAAAGAATAGTAAAAATGAATGCTATTACTATTACTATCATATATGCATATCGGAAAAAAAATAGATAAGGGAAAAATATAATTTCCATCAATTTCCCAAAAAGTAAATTTGCTATTACAATCGTACCATCTGAAAGTTGTTCATCAATTGGGATTTATTTAAGTTCTTGGCCGGTCAAGAGTTGTTCAACTTAACCAGCTAAGGGGTTTTCTACCGGCTTATATCAATAGTATTTATTATTATTATTATGTTATTTACACCTGAAATTTTGATATCGTGAAGACAATTTGCTGTACCGGCACTTACACTGTATCGAGTTTCACGTGTAATGTGTAATAATTAAATTTACAAGGATCCTTGTAAACAACAATGTATTAATAAAAAAGAACTGGTGATGTGAAAAGTCACTGTTACCGTTGATGTCTTTACAATAATATATATAGGGAATTAGTGTTTGAGTGTAATAAGGGTCGTTATCGTCACCCTAACGAAAGCGTTTTGCAACGAGTTTCCATCACTACTACGAATGTAACTATGCCAGCTCTGGGTCTTGTATACATACTGTCAACTTCCCAAATCCATGAAATTTTGATAACAAATAAAAACCCGGTCGTATTTATAGAATTTCTCTGACCAGGTTTTCTTGTTTGTCGACTTTCATACACTTAATATATACTAAATATTCAATGCATCGAGCAAACAATTAAATTAATTCGTAAATTCTATTAAAGCTTTTAGAATTGTTTTAAAACTCGCAGAAAATCCTGCAATGATAAATCTCAACCTTCATTTTGATATAAAAGCAAAATTCTATTCTTAATATGTAATAATATAATAAATTCTAGTAGAAAGCATACCTAAGTGACTGGGTTCTTATTTTATTTCCTTTGAAATTTTGGACGTCATTTATTATAATAATTCGGTGGATTTCGAAGGTTGAATTATTGAAAATGGATATAATCGATAAAGTTTTAAAAAAGTTAAATATTAAAAATTCTGCATTTTCCTGTAGTTTCTTTTGTTCATTTGTTCAAGTAAAGATTATATCTAGAATAAAATCTCTGTTCTGATCTTGAAAAAGTTGGTTCTTTTTTGGTTATCGGGCGGGATAAAGGATCCAGACAATTTTTTTAATACTTTCATAATATATATTCTTGTCGAGTCTCTTTTCAAACAGAAGTGGAGTTTATAGACGATCTTTTGAGATAAAACTTTTTTATAATAAAAATTGCCATTTTGCTAATTCTAATGTCTTCATATTTTTTTTAATTTTAAATTTTTTCTACAATATCTAAAGTAAGTTTCATATTCACTATATGTATGACGACCAAGATGACGAGTCACGATAACTACTATTCTAATTCTTTTTAACTAGAATGACGACTAGTTGCAATGATTGCAACAACCACCACCATTCTTTTTAAATAAACAATACTTGCTCTCATACGAATCTTTAGCTTCGGTTTGTTTTCTTCAAAATATTTATTATTACGCGTGGACTTATTCAGCCTATTTACCAAATCTTTCAATAAATTATTTACAAAGATCTTGTCATCGAGTCAAAATACGGGATGTTGTTGTCGATGATTAACTTTCTTGTTGCTTCTTTAAAATTGCACTTAATCTTCCTTTGATGCTTGCTGGTTGAAAATACACAATGTTTACCACCTCTATGATTATCACTAGACACAGAATGAAGAATTTCACTATTGATTCGTACAAGTTGATTAACTATCAATTAATCAATATGTATTGATGACGTTGTGTAAAATAAGTGAAGAAATTACTTTTCCTCTTCGTGCGCTTTAAATAAAGGAATTTTTATTGGTTAGTTTTTTAGAGAATAATAAAAATGTCCATCCAGACAGTTTAAAAAAAAAAAACTTTTGAAAGTGATCAATTTATTTTTTTATATCTTTTATGAAGATGGAACATTATAAAGTATATTATGACATTACGGCTATCATTCAGATGTCGTAATATTATGACATTCACAAATCAATTTGGGCTTGCATAATTTTAGGATTAGCAAATCTTTCCATTTTATACTTTTACGTATTAGTATGTATGTTGAGGTTTTGGCTAGTACTAGATAAAATGAATGAATTGCCGATTTTGTTTAGCATTGCATTAGATTATATTTGGTTACCAATTTCCAGTTATACAGTTGAAAGGGGGTTTTTCATTTACAACCAAATTTAACTAACCCTTACTTTTTTTTTATGTTTATTCACCTTTTTTATTTTATGCTTCAATGCATTTATTTATCATAAAAGATTGCCGCATAATTTCGCACATTTATAAAACGAGATCAAATGAAATCGCAAATTACCTTATTATGTCACAGGAAAAAATTATCATCCTTGAATCCATGTCATGTATCTAGGGTCACAACACCTGCATGCGGAATCATCTATTGTTATAGTAAGTACTTAAAATTAAAGCCCCAATGCTTTATGTACGTGCATTGGAAGCTTCCAGTCAAAATTTTTGTCGCCGGAAACAATGTCACGTAGACCCAAACTACGTATAATAATCAAAATAATAAGTCAAGAACAAAACCCAGAATGGTGGAGGAATATACATATTAATGTAGAAACAGTTAAAGTTACTTTGAGAAGAATCAGGATTTGATTATAAAATTTAGTGATAAATTTTACTAATTTATAAATGTTATTTGAATGTCGTTTGGATTTTCTAGACTTTCTACTACAACAAGTGATAGTATTAAGGAAAAATAAAAATAAAAATTTATTCTTAATGATCTAAAATTCTCAAATTTCCTGAAACTACTTTATTTTCTAATACGGCATTAGATGGAATATCAATACGTGCACCATGATTAGCAACGATAATTACAGTTCCTTTAAGTTCTACATTGGCTCCAAATGTAACATCGCCTGTTACTGTTAAATGATCAAGTTCAAGGATATATGGTGGTGATTGAAATCGCGCTAAAAAATTCGACACCTAGATAGAAAGAAAGAAAGATTGATTAATAATAATTTTTATATAGTAAAAAACAATCATTGTTGTTGTTATTACCTTTTTGAATCCATCACCTAATTTCACCAATGGAACAGTTTGGAACAAACGTTTCGGATTCATTACAAGTTCACCATGATTAAGGGAATATAGATCAGATGTTATTAAGAACAGATCAGAGGTAGATTTTACAGGCAAGAATCGATTTCTTGGCACATTAATCCCATGAGCATTTGCGAAATGTTTAATAGCTGCACCAACAGCTGTTTCCAATTGTATGACCTTTTCACCAGAATCCAAAGTTTTCTTGTTGGTAATAACCTCTAAATCCAATCCTTTTTCCTCAGTGATACGCTTGATTGCTTTCAAATTAATCCATAGATTATTTGTATTGAAAATTCTGAATTTCTTGATGGATTTAAATTCTTCCATGTGTTCGGCTGGTACTTGTGCTACCTCCAACAATCTAACTTTACCCTCATAATCTATCAGTGTACCACCTTTGATATCAGCTTTTGTTTTGTCCGTGACTTCCATTAAAAATTCGACTTCTGAATCTACGAGATATTGAAGAATTTTCAAATCTGCCACTGCTCCCAAATTGTCAACATTAGAAACAAAAATGTACTCTTTTCCTTCTGCGATCAATTGATCCAATATCCCTGAATTAACCATCGATTCATATAAATCTCCATGACCTGGTGGATACCTAATAAATTATCTCATAAGTAATTTATATAATATATTAACAATATAAATAAAAATTTTTGTTTTTTATATTAATACCATTCACTTATATCACTGTTAGGATATCTTGGAATAGGTAACAGCGATTCATTATTTATTCTAGGATATCTTGATTGATTAAATGTAAGTATACTAATTTTATGACTTCCATATTTTTGAATGATTCGTTTAGTTTCATCATCAGTGTTAAAAGAATTCATAAGTATGAATGGAACATTAACATTATATTTGCTATTAAGGTACTATTCGTAATGCATATACAATAATAATTATTATTAATTAATGATTATATCCTTATTATCATCATAATGATAGTCATGATTTTACAAACCTCAATTTGTCTAACACTTAAATCTAAAAACGTCATGTTATCTCTTACTTCGATAGCACTTTTAGGACCAACACAACCCATCGTTGTTCCAAGTCCACCATTGAGTTTAAGTACTGCCAATTTCTTGAGATATTCTGTATGTTCACATGTTGGTAAATCCTTATATGAAATAATTTGTTCTGGACTAGGTGACTTGACTTTATCCCAATCTCTTTTTTGAAATCAAAAAAAAAAACATTTTTTTAATATATGCATATAAACAAACAAACAAACAAATGTATGTATGTATGTATGTATGCATGCATGAATGTATATATATTACAGTTTTGTTCCTTTCAATTTTTCGCTCAAGTAACGAGTAAATAATAAATAAAAATTATCCATTTCATTACGAAAAGCCTACAAATCATCATTAATAATGAAGATAATAAAATTCAATTAATTCAATTATATACATGTATTGATTGATGTTGTTGATATATAAATAAATACATACTTTTTGAGGTTTCATATCTTGAATTAAATTAACCATTTTATTAAGTTCAATTTTCATGGCTTTAGCTGCAACACCCAAGCTTGCAGTTTGAAAATCCTACAATTTTTATTCAATGTATAGATACCATAATCAACATACCTATTATATATATTTAAATAGATAAATAAATAAATTTAAGATTAATTACTGTAGAAGATAATTTGTGAGGATGTCGGCCTTCATTTTCTCGAGAATTTGTAATAGTCATAATTATTTTGTTTAATATTAATAAAATAAAAAATTTTTAAAAAAAATTTTGATGAGAAAATTTTAAACAGAAGTGTATATCACATATTAATATGACATAATTATGCAGTCATACACAATAATAATTCTAGTAAAACTAGACCAAATGTAACAATCAATGAGTGTAATCCTAAAATGAAATTAAAAAGGTCATTTAATTTCCAAAATATGTATGGCCGAGTTTGAGGTTGGAATCGACTAAAATAGTCGACTAATTTTAAACTTTTTTTTGAACAACTAATTATAATAGTCGGCTACTAATACTACTAATACTAATATTAATGCTAATATTTTTATCATTCAAATGGAAAATTTCTATGCGGAAGAGTATCAATACCATCAATATGATGATGATGACAATGGTTGTGATAATTTTACATGTGAATTAATAAACACTTCCGATACAGATCCAATGCTTCATTGGTTTCAAGTTCCAATGATTTAAGCGATGGTTCCAGAAGACCTTTTAAAAAACGAATCGTAACACATGGTTTTGTGTGGAAGTATTTTGAAAAAGTGAAAGATTCAAATGGAAATGAATTCGTAATTTGCAAATTAAAAAAAAAAGAAAAAAAAATATTAAAAAAAAAATTTAGTTGGGTAATTAGTCGACTAAAATAATCGACTAATAGTTGAACGATATTACTATATTAATATTAAAAAATTTATTCATCATCCCTATTTACTATTTGAAAAAAAGACCGTTTCAGGACTGATAAATATATCAATCTAGTGGACCAGTTTAAACTTCAGCCCCTATTTGAAAAAATACTGTTTCAGGACTGTTTTCACACGATAAAAGACTGCAAGACTACCAATTGGTCTTTTTTGAGAAAATATTGGACTAGTCTAAGGACAGATCATCAGTCCACTAGTCTTTTAGGATTGTTTAACATCCCTATGTTAAGGTTGTGGGCGAAACTCCTCCAGAATCAATCGACAGAGTTTCATCAGGTTACACACACATTAATTGTTTATTAGAGTTTTGGCAGAGTTTCGCATTTGGGGGTTTTGTCAATTGTCAGAGTTTTGACAAGGTATATACTAATTGTTCATTAGAGTTTCAACAGTCACTA